GACCATAACCTCCAGAGGAATGGTCCTAAGTGCAAATCAGAGCCCATGGCTAGGGAACTTAATCATTGGAAGAGATTATTTTATCTATTAATTAAAACAATTATGTTCATTGTATGCTTTGCCTGTACCAAAAAATATGCTATTACTACATATGCCCTCGTAAAAATACCCAGGACATAATGTCTGCATATGTCATTACCTGCTTGGTTTTACAGCAGAAAATCATGAACTTTTCATCTTGGTCTTATGACTTTGACAATCTTCTTGGAGAATTCTAGTGAGATAAATTTGGTCTTCTATGTAGAGTATTATATCATCTGCGAATCTTAATTTGACTTCTTTCTTTTCTATATGTATCTTTTTTTATTTCTTTCTCTTGCCTTATTGTTTTGGGTGCTTAAGTACTATGTTAGGAAGAAGAAGGAACCTGTCAATCCCTGCCACTTCTGGGGTCAAACCACCAACTCCTACTGATTCTGCATCTTGTTTATTCTCTGCATGTGGCTAACTATTGGCCTTTGCTTTTGTTCCAGGAATCAGCTACTTGCATTTATCTGAGTAGGAAGACTGAAGCTTTTGCTTGGTTCAGTGCCCAGTTTTTGAGAATAGACTGCAGGATTTTTTATCAAAACCCAATGAATCTTGATATGGAATAAAGGAAAAAAAATTGACAGTAAATATGTCACCATGGCTGTAATAGTAAAGCCAGGAACACTGACAGCATCAAATATAAACTGAATCTTGAAAAACCATAAGAACCACTCATGAACCACCCTAACCAAAGCAAAGAAATCTATGATTTTTTAAAGAGAATAAAACAGTTTAAAATCAATAAAAACAAAACAATGAAAGCAATACAGGACTTCAAAACAAGATATTAGGAAATTAATAATGGCTACCATAATATATCTTGTTAGCTTCAAAATAACTGCCCATACCATTGGACATAATAAAATCCAACAAAATAAAACATAATAATACCAAACAAAATAAGCAATGAAAATGATATGACTTCAAAACAAGATAATAGGAAATTAACAATGGCTACCGTAATACCTCTGGTTATCCTCAAAATAGCTGTCCAGAACAACATAAATAGGCATGTAAAATCAACAAAATTCAAGAATTAAGTGGCTTCTTTACTTCATTTTTTATCTTTTCAGAAACTTCAGGTGTATAATCTTTAATTTCTATTATGTGTGTGTCTCTCATGAACTTGCTCTGTGCAGGCTGGAGGTCTGAATATTTTACTCCTTCATCTTGATGTTTTCCTGTTTTGGAATCAGCCCATTGCTGCATTCTGAGTGCTTCCTGCATTGGCTGCCAATTTGTTAGTGTAGTGTATTGGACTAGGCACCTAGATTCCCCTGATCTGGGGTTCATGGAGTGGTAGAGAGGCTAAGGGCTGTGGTTCACCAATGTTCTCCTGACTGTGATGATTGGGTCTTATGGCATAACTTCTTCTCCAGGCCCATGCTGTGCTCATCAGACCTTTCCCAGTCACTGGCATAGCATCTCAGGGCATATGTCATTACCTGCTTTCTTTTTTTTTTTTTATTTAAGAGGAAAAAGAGAAAAACACAAAACAAACCAAAGTGGTGTAAGGGTACACGTAATACAGAACTACAAAAAAAAAAACATAACAGTAAGAAATCACTTGCTAGTAGATTACATATTATCATCTTGAAAATAGTTCCTCAAATCACAGTATCAAAGAATACAAGGTGGACATTCAAACAGGGAGACTGCAAACAGCTATGTTCAATGATCCAAAAACATTGATATAGTCAGCTATTTAACACCCCTAAACACACTTGCTGTTATATCCGTTAGAGCTCTCTTTCTTTTTTTTTCCCCTCTCTTTTCTACAACAAAATTTACACATTTTGGATTTTATTACTCCTTAGTGCTTATTACTTTTGGGGTGGGGGGAAGAATACAGTCAAATATGGCAAAACAAAGCTGTCAGTCAATACCAAGGATAGACATAGCACATGGTGTAGAACAGAGTACAAGTTTATCAACAATGGTTATCAACGTTGTCCCTTGTTTCCTTAAAAAGAATTGTCTATCTCATCAGATATTATAAAGTTGGACAAAACAGTAGAGAACAAGACCAATAAAACTTAGGCATTGTAAACATTACAGGACTTCCAAAGAAGACAATAGTCAAACCAGAATGGGTATCTTAGTGAATCTTATTGTCTTCAAAGTAGTTGCCTATGTCTTCAAACTTGATACTATCATATGGAATGGAACAGAATCTAATCAGTCAAAACAAGATCGTGGGAGTACTACAGGACTTCAAAACAAGTTAATAGGAAATCAAAAAGAGTTACTATTTATATATCCTAATTTTTTGGATTTTTTCTTTAATTAAGACAAACATAAGAAATGACTAAATAATTTTTTTAAAACAATAAGGGGGAGATTGAGATAAAACAGGACATAACAATATAACAATAGAGGTCACAGCATGACTGTTTCAACAACCTAGTACTTCACCACCATATAACCCAACTTAATAGTAGTTACCATAGTGTCTTTTTCCTTGAAATATTTGGATAAAACTTCATATACTCTAGCTTCAAATATTTTCATATCAAGAAGCCCAGAATAAAGCCTTTCTAATTAATGAGTGAAAACTTTATAAGGCTTCAAGGCCACCTAAAGGGGAATCATGATTACCACATATTTTTATATATTTGAATCATTACTTACATTAGGGAAACTATTCGGTATTCAAACATGCGAGATTGATTTATTTCACTTATGAGTATGGTCTCAAGCTGCGCCCATTTATTGATAAATATCTCAATGTGATCCTTCTTTATAGCTGAATAATACTCCATTGTATAGAAATACCACAACTTTTTTATCCATTCCTCAGTTGATGGACACTTGGGTTGTTTCCAAGATCTGGCGATTACAAATTGTGTTGCTATAAACATAGGTGCACATATATCACTGTGGTATGATGCTTTCAGTTCTTCTGGGAATATGCCTAGAAGTGGAATAGCTGGAATAAATGGGATTTCCAGTCCCAACTTTTTGAGAAATCTCCAGACAGATCTCCACAAAGGCTGTACCAGTCTACACCCCCACCAGCAGTGCAGGAGAGTTCCTTTTTCCCCGCAGCCTCTCCAGCATTTGTTGTCGGTTTTCTTGATCCTGGCCATTCTTTCAGGAGTGAGATGGTATCTCAGTGTGGTTTTAATTTGCATTTCTCTAATGACCAATGATGATGAGCATTTTTTCATGTATTTATTTGCCATTTGCATTTCTTCATCTGAGAATTGCGTATTCATCTCAGATGCCCATTTTTGGATTGGATCTTTGAATTTCGGAGGTCTGAGTTTCTTTAATTCTTTATATGTTTTAGACAAGAGGCCCTTGTCTGAGAGAGAGTTCACTAAAATCTTTTCCCAGTTTGTGGGTTTTCTTTTCACTATGCTGGAGATTTCTTTTGACAGGGCATGCTTCTTTCTAATAAGCCCATTTCTTCACAGGTTTGGTTAAGCTCTGATATGTTTTTGCTGATTTTCTGTCTGGTTGATCTGTCTGTGATAATGAGGTATTGAGGTGTTTCCCATTACAATTGTGTTATTTTTTGTTTGATTTTTCCATGTCTACCAATAATTGTCTTAAATAATTGGGTACTCCTATATTAGGCACATATATTTTTATTATTGTTATGGCATTTGTGCTGTCTCTAGCATTCTCAGTGATACCAACCAAACTTATGTTATTCTTCCTTGCCACATCTTGTAGCTGGTGGCCTGATTTACTGTGATCTCTTGCTATTTTTGAGCTATCTTTCTTTTCATGATCTCTAGTTGCAATTCTGCTATCAAGATCTGAAATACTTTCTTTTCCTTCACTCAATCTGTTGCATATACTTTTAATGGAAGTTTTAATCTCCTGTGTTTCTGTTTGGATCTGTTTTATGGATTTCATTTCTCTCCTATGTTGGACATTTTTTGTTTCCATCTTTTGCTAAGCTCATCTGTCTTTTTTGTGTCTTCTCTAATATATTTGATTTTTAGCATCATTTATTTTTGTACCTGAGAGATCATTTTCCCTACATAATTTTTTCCACTTTTTTTCACTTCTGCTTTTATCATTTCAGAAAGTTTCAGTGTTTGATTTCCAACTTCATCCATCTTGTTGAGTTCCAGGCCTGTCCTGAGTGGGCTGGGGATTTGGGACCACACCTTGCCTTTGTGTCTTGCAATTCTCCAACTTCTATCTTTTATTTTGTTTTCTGTGTTGATGCGTACCAATTTCCCATGATATATAGCTCTACCACTAGCCTTGAGGCCTCCCTCAAAGAGGACAGGAGGTATCCATTCCTCAGGAATGTCTTCCTGATGTAGTTCGTCCTTTATACCTATCCCAAGAATCTACCTTCTTCTGATGTTTACAATTCTGTGATAATGCCCATGTTACAACCAAAGAAATGCTGGGTGTGAAGTCTGTCTTGGCCTCTGGATATGGATGCTAGGTCTGGTCTTCTGTCAGTGGAGTTCTCCATAGTGCAACAGCTGTATCTTTGCTGTTGCTTCAGACAGTTCCATGTTACTGGTCTCACTTATCACTTTGCCCTCCAAAGGCATGTGTGCATCTGTGTGCCAGGCTTTTGTCCTGACCTTGGGGTTACTGTTGGTCTTACACTCTTCCAGTTGGCCCTGCTATCTGGGGAGATAATGAAAGAAGCCTGGAGCAAGAACTCACCGTCTTCCAGTCAGCCCTGCAATCAGGGAAATAATGGAGAGGTAGAGTGCACACACTCACTGTGTTTCAGCCAGGTCCACCATCATGAATGCAATAGAGGGGCACAGGGCATGAACTCACTGTCTTCCAGGAGGCCCAGCCTCCAAGATACAATCAAGATCTATGATTTTAGTATAGACACTTAAACAACACAGTAAAATGATCATTAGTGAATGGTATGCAGTGGAGCAAGAGCTGGAAGAGACCACTAGACTCGATGCACTCACCTTCAGATCCACCTCCTGTAAAAGTTATGCTCACAAATTCTGGCTCTCCCTACAGAATGTAAGGATTATAACTTTCTTGGCCTAAGTGGTTGCATATCAAACTCTCATGCTCTCCAAGTCTGTCTTCTATGACTTTCTCTCACCCATTTTCTATGGTGGGATAACATTTCAATCCTGGAGTGAAACTTCTTCCATGGTATTCATCTCTTACTCAATCAGGAAAGTTACTTGCTGTAACATCTGCTGCTGTGTGTTAAGGAGAACCAAGATGCAGAATCAGCAGGAGGTGGTAGTTTGACCCCAGTAGTGGCAGGGCAGGTTGGCAGGCTCCTCTTTCCCAATATAGGACTTGAAACACCTAAAACAAGTAAGCAAGAGAAAGAAATAAAAGGGATACATATAGAAAAGGAAGAATTCAAACTATCATGATTTGCAGAAGACAAAATACTCTACATAGAAGACCCAAAGAACTTCTCCAAAACACTCTTAGAATTAATAACCAACTTCAGCCACACAGCAGGATACAAGGTCAACACAAAAAAATCAATAGCATTTGTGTACACTAATAATAAACTCAATTAGAAGGAAATTTTGAAAACAATACCATTTACAGTAGCTTCAAGAAAAATGAAATACCTTGGACTTAACCTAATCAAGGAAGTGCAAGACCTCCAGAAAAGAAAAGAAAGAAGGAAAAAGAGATTGAAGAAGAAGGATATGAGAAAATAGCAAGATTGAGCTGGGGAGTTAGCTCAATGGCACAAGCACATGCCTGGCAAGCGTGAGGTTGTAAGTTTGATCCCCAGCACCAAAAAGAGAAAAAAATTAAAAAAAATTAAAAGAAAATGAAAAGATGTTCTCAGGTCCTGGACAGTAGGTGAACCAATATTTTCAAAACAGCCATATTCCCAAAACTATTATATAGTTTCAATGGAGCACAAATCAAAATACCAACAGCACACTTTAACAATCCTAAAACTCATATGGATTCAGAAAAGACCCACAATAGAAAAAGCAATTTTGTGTGACCAGAGAAAATCAAGAGACCTTATAATTTCTAACTCAAGCTATATTGCAAAGGATAGTGATTAAAAATTGCATGGTACCCGAATAAAACAGATATGTGGATCAATGGAACAGAATAGAGGATACAGAAACATCCCGACTCATTTAGTTACTTGATCTTTGACACAATAAGGTTTAGATACAGGTTTTAACAATTCAAAATGGATCTTGAAAGCAGCCTCCTTTGGTGAAGAGCTCATTACATACTCAGTACAAGTTTAATGTCCTTGTATATGCCCTATATATCTCATGCTTTCACAAATAAAGAGGGAATATACAATAGCCAACTCCGGATTAGGTTCTCACTGGGTTTGAATAACTCTTTTACATTCATTGGCTGTATGATTAGAACAAGCGCTGAAAATCTCTGAGTTTACTTTCCTCCATTACAAAATGTTGTAATACTAAAAACAGGATAGACAAATAGTCAAGGACAGACTCTGGCATCACATTACTTGATACTTAACCCCAATTTTGCTATGATCTAACTTGTTCTGTGCACACAATAGGTATGTGTACAAAGCTAAGTGTTAAACCCAGACTTCCTGTACTTACATTTGGCGCCACTCACAGGTATATTTGCCATTGAATTGATAGCAACAAGCTCCAGGGTTTTTAATATACAAGCGTCCCTTTCAATACAGAGATATTTTATGTTGATATATTCGTGCTATGCATCTGAAAGGTGATCCCAAATAGCATGAATAAAACTGTGGGGATTCCACAAAATCTGGATCCAAAATTGACATCACTAATTACTGGCTCTGTGATATAGGCTTAATGTCTATTTCATCTCTGTTTCATTTTCTCCATTTGAAAAATAGTATAAAATTGGCAAACTGCTTCACAGGATTGCTATGGGGTGATTAAATGCATGTAAAATGTTTATCATATTTCCATGCACATGACATGTCCTCCATTAGTGTTGGCTTCCAAAACTCCTTTTTATAGTTTGGCCATTTTTTTATCTTGCTTTTTTATGAAAACAGTCTGGTTTGTGCTCATCCAGCTGTTTTTAAATTTCAGCTGTGATTATCTTCCTGTGATTCTTAATTCATTCCTTTTGTATCTTTGGATGTCTTTTTTGTAAGTCTTGAATTTTCTTATTGTCTGGTCTTAATCTTTTTCTATTTTGTTTCTAACACTTACTAGATATGTTCGTTGCTTACATGTGACAATTTTAGTTCATGTAAACACCCAAAGAGCCATCTGCTAGATTGAATTTCCAACAATAACACTGGCAACTATTGCAACATAACTCCATGCTGTCATAAATTCTGAAATCATTGCTGCATGTCATCTGCATATTTGAGAAGCTATTTACTCTTTTCTGCTTCGGAAACACTGACCTTACAAATGTGTTCTGTTCCATGAATAATGATATCTCTGTATAAACTTGGAACAGACTTGGGACACGTAGACATTTGCATGGTGGATTTGACTACTGATGATGGATTTCCCTTTAAGCCAACTCCAGTAAAAATAATCTGCTTTATCACAGGTTACTCATTTAAATGTTAATCACACCCTTAAAAATCAAATCAACAAAAACATTTATATTGGTGTTTAAGGACAACTAGGCACCAAATCTAGCCAAGTTAGCACATAAAACTAAGTATCACATCAGGAAATGGCAGCATAATACTTCAGATGTGTTGTGTATTATTTTTTTTTGTACTGGGGGTTGCACTCACGACCTACCATTTGCAAGGCAGGAGCTTATGATACTGAGCTGAATCTCCAGCCCTTGTTGTGTATTTTGAAGAGTTTTGAGATCAAAGGTTTCTGTAGGAGAGTAAGCACTTTATCTATAATACATTCTCTTCACTCAGTGTCCTTTTATTTTTCTGAAGTCTAAATTATTGTGAGTGCTGCACAATCCTGAAGGGAAGCCTTCAAGAAGGGATGAGACCCATTAAAGAGTTCTGCTATATTTTCAATATATGGTCACATTTTCAATGTCCTTATTCTTTAACTAATATCAGCTAGAAATTACTTTTGGTAGTCATCATTCAACTAAGTAAAACCCAAAAAAGGCATAAAACTTAAAGCATAAAAAAATGTTATGAAGGAGGGTCATTGTGACCAGGGCAAGGTGGAAAAAAAGCTTGGTTGGTGACTTCACAGAACAGAAACTAGAAAGTATGTGATCACTAAAATAGCTAATTATTTAAATGAAGAATGACATGATATCCAATTCAATGGAATGAGAATAGAGATACAGCAAGCAGTGTAACCATAGGAAAGGGAATTGCAAAAGATACATCTAGAACTGGAAGCCCATGTCTAAACTTTAAACTCTGAATGCTGACTATGGTGATTTATATAGGCCATTCTACAGTGCCCAAAGGAATTTCTGGACTTCTTGCATGCAAAGTACAAAAATAATCTCACAATTCATAGGTCATAAATTGAGGAATAGGAACACTGGGAACTGGGAAAAGAGATTTACAAGATAATTTGTGGAAGGTCTTGGTTTGAAGAAAGCAGTAAAATAGGGAAGTAAAATGACATAGGAAGTGAAATTAGAGGTTTGGGAAGAAGTAGAGATATTTAGCAAAACTTTGGAGTTTTCTCTTACAGATAAATCAGAGCTATGATTCTGAATGGCGCTACTGTTGGAGGTGCTGTGAGAAACTGTGGCTCGAAGTCCTGGTGGAAACACTTCAGGATTTTATGAAGCTGGTGTGATAGAGGCAAACACACTCCAAAATCTTGTGGGAGGACAGGTTTAGGTCCAGATGTTAGCAAAGAACATGGAATACTGTGTCTGTTTTTCAGTTGTACTTACCTGAAGTAGAATTGGAGGCTTTTAAATTTTTCATCCTCATTTTTTCTTTTAAAGGGGATAAAATAAAACAATAAAATGGAACCAAACAAAATAGTGAAAAAATATTGGATTTCAAAAACAAGACACAAGGAAATCCCCCATAGTTGCCATATTGCATATTATTTTCCTCTAAATAGATGCTCAGACTACCAGCTTTTGGCCTGCAAAGTCAAACAAACAATATAAGCATTAAGCTGGGTTGTTTTTTTTTTACTTCAGTAGTTTTCATTTCAGCCGGTGTTCTCTGAATCAGCCAGTTGTCTATGGGGGGTGGTGCTCTTCTTATCTCCAAGCCCACACACTAGCTGGCTCACAGGATAGGGGAGGTTGAAATCTCGGTTCTCCTCCTGGCCTCCCTGGCTGACACTGGCTCACAAAAGAGCATGAGTTGTTTATTAGTTCTCCTCCAGGGCACAACTGACGCTGGTTCACAGAAAGCCACGGATTGACTTCTTTGTTCTCCTCACAGCCCATGACTGTTGCTGGCTCATGGGAAGGTAAAAGTTGGCTTCTTGGTTCTCCTCCCAGCCTGTTTGGCTTCTACTGGCTCAGAAGAGGGTGTAGGTTGGCTTTTTGGTTCACCTGGCTCACATAGTGCTGTGTCTTGTCTTTTCTTCATATTTAAACATTTTGTCAATGGAAAACAAGTGAACATGCTTAGTTTTTAGCAAGAGTAAATTCACACACAGCATCCAACACAACCAATAGTTCTTGGGGAATCCAATGCTGAGCAGCTGAACCAACCCCCACCAACCACTTTGCCCACCCATCCTCCACCTCATGGTACCAATCCTCTCCCATGGATAGATCTCTAATTTCTGTGCTCAGTTTTACTCTCCCAGAATCACTTGAAAGGAACCAATAGTAAATATGGGGATCCCACAGAAAGCAAAAGCAGATGAACAAGTCACCTTGCAACTTAAAGTTCAGACTGAATTGGGAGAATACGTGGTGGTGAGCAAAGGCCTTGGAAAGTGACCTCATGACAAATCTGACTTCTTAATTATGAGTTCCAAATTGTCAAACTCTCATTCTGATAATATTAAGTATACTTGATAAAATATTCTCATACATTCTCACACCTGTAAGAACAAGATTGTTGATCAGTGAGCAAAGAATATTCCTCAGAACAATTGTAAGAGTACAAAGAAGATGACTTGTATTACAGATGAATCTGTACTGAGCCAGGAAGGTCTAGGCAGACTGAGAAAGAGAAAAGAAAAATAAGAAGTAAGAAATAAATAGAAAAAGACCTAAGAGACAGTAGAGAACTACTAGAAGTTCTCCAAGGTCCTGGGCATGGCGAGTTTGGACAGGGGATACTCAAAAGAACACACTGCAACCTTGGCAGTACGGTAAAGTAGCTGAGGAGATGAGGACTGCAGGCTCTGGTGTCTCCTCTCTATAAGCTTTGCCATGAGTGTATTTTCCTCTCATCCTTCCTCTGCTCTTTTGCTCTAACA